TGGTATGGTTGTTGGTGGCCCAGTTTTGGAGACTGTTCAATAAATCCTGAAGGGCGGTATAGTCGGGAGCAGAATTGTTGACGCTGATCCCAATGGTGGAGTCGTCGACATATTTCCAGCGAGCAGGGGTATCTCTTAGGGCATCATTGATGAGCATAAGGAAGCAGAGTGGTCCCATCTTGGTGCCTTGGGGGACGCCACAGGTGAGTGACTGAAAGGTGGAGACAGCCCCTCAGAAGCGTACAGCTTGGCGTCGGTCACTGAGGAAGTCTGTAAGCCATGGTATAAGACTTCTCCAGCCAGGTCAATAGCTTTGTTGGTGATTATATTGTGGTCGACTAGGTCCAAATGCTGGTAAGAATCAATGAAGGCGACAGCTACAGACGTTTTTCGTTTCTCGAGATGGCGGTATATGTAATCGAGAAAGCTGACAAGACAGTGAGTGGTGGAGGAAGTTTTCATATTGCCAAATTGCTGAGGGTCTACGACTCCTGCAATATCAGCATAAGCCCAGTGTTGATATATATTTGATATGGACTCTAATTTTATTGCAGTTGCTGCCTGTTGTGTGCGTCATAATGCTAAGTGATTGATACTGAACACACACACACACACACAGTGTGGTGTGTGTGGTGTGTGTGGTGTGTGTGGTGTGTGTGTGTGTGTGTGTGTGTGTGTGTGTGTGTGTGTGTGTGTGTGGTGTGTGTGGTGTGTGTGGTGTGTGTGGTGTGTGTGTGTGTGTGTGTGTGTGTGTGTGTGTGTGTGTGTGTGTGTTCAATATCAATCACTTAGCATTATGACGCACACAACAGGCAACATAACAACAATAAAATTAGAGTCCATATCAGAAATATATATCAACACAGGCCACACAGGTGTTGAAGTTATCACACACACACACACACACACACACACACTTGCTTCCCTATGACTCCACATCACCATCAGCCATCCTCCTTCCCTGTCTCAGTATACCCTGTTAGCTGGGATGGACAGTTTCAATTCTCATCCGATTTTCACAAAGGCGAGAGCAGACGAGGCTGACAAGTTGTACTGGGCAAAAGGTTTGGTCACTTCCTTCATTTATTCAGATCAGGTTTCGTGAACTTTGAAGGGACTGGGAACTACAACCTGTAGGGAATTGATTAAAATATATCTACCATGTCTATCGCTGATATGAAATAATGTTATACTGAAGTGCGGAGCGAGAAGTGAGGAGTGAGGAGTGAGGAGTGAGAAGTGAAGAGTGAGAAGTGAGGAGTGAGGGGTAAGGAGTAAGAAGTGAGGAGGACAAATGAAGAGTGAGAAGTGCGGAGTGAGAAGTGAGGAGTAAGGAGTGAAAAGTGAGGAGTGAGAAGAGAGGAGTGAGGAGTGAGAAATAAGGAGTAAGGAGTGAGAAGTGAGAAGAATGAGGAGTGAGAAATGAGAAGTGAGGAGTGAGAAGAGAAGAGTGAGGAGTGAGAAATGATGAAATAGAAGAGAAAAGTGAGGAGTGATAACTGAGGAGTGAGAAATGAGAAGATATGAGTGAGAAAGTGTTGAAAGAGAAGAGAGAAATGAGGAGTGATAACTGAGAAGTGAGAAGAGAGAGTCTAAACAAATTATTCAGCCCCGGACTGACTCTGGGCCGTGGTGAGTCAGAGCTGTAACCAATATCTTCAGCTTTACATTTTTGCTTGTCAGTATATTGTCAGTAACGTAGATATAGTCAGGTTAGTTATAGTGAATGTCGACCCACTGGAGGATTCAGAACTGGCACATGTGTCACTGGAGAAAATTTCGTTTGGTTTTAGTTTTTAGGTTTATTTTTTCTATTTCATTTCATCCGAGAAAAAAATATGAGCGAGTTTAGTTTTGTAATAAGAATAAAGAAGTAATTAAAAAAGTGCCAATTCTTTACTTTGTTCTTATTCAAATATATATATTTTTTTCTATCTACGGAGTGTTAATAATATCAACCTGATCACGTATTTACTGCAAGATAAATGATATGGTTCAAATGCAGGTTAATAGTTTATTGTATCTATACAAACTTGAGATGGCCAAATTTCATATCATCATCATCATCAACCATCATTATTATTATTATTATTATTATTATTATTATTATTATTAAAAGTGGATATTTAATACAGAAAGTATGTGTGTATTGACTAAAAAAATTATAATAAGGATAAGAAAGGTTAGGAGCTAAATTGGTTATCAAAATTAAAAATGTAACACAATAATATTTTATATAGTTTGCATTTACTGATATTCCCTGACTACCTCAGGCTACTTCACCTTGTGTTGCCTCACTCACTCACTCCTGAGTCCATTACCTACGTCGATCTGATACTGCAGTTGTTCCAAATAATTTAATGGTGAATGTGCAACATAAACTAATATTGTGTCCTCCTGGGACTATTATTTTACATTCAACATCAACACCGGTGGTTTTGTCCTCTGTAGTTTCGTCCTCTGTAACCTAACTTTGATGCCAACACAGTTGTCATATTGTTCACATTCGACTTTGTACGTGAGGACGCTGGTAAAACTCCTCTCCCTCGCTCTACTGCTGCCACCACCACCAGACCCTTGTGATACCTTACACCAAACAAAGTGAGGGGGACCTGATGAAATTCCTGCAGTTGTGCCGACACATTGCGTCCCACAACTGGGTTTTATTCACCCTGGAGTAAAAAAAATTACTATCTGTCTGATATATCCTTCATCTAGGGACCACCAAAGGAGGATGACATGACAAGCCCCTCTACTGTACCTACTGCTGCATCCACCAGCCAGGATATCCAGGGTTACAGAGAGCATTGTCACCTGTCGCGTCTCTCACGAGTCTTATTTTATATTCATCTGTAAGGTTTTCATCAGATCAGGGCAGCCAGTTTTCAAATCATTATGCGAGATATATATATATATATATATATATATATATATATATATATATATATATATATATATATATATATATATATATATATATATATATATATATATAGTTGCCCTTTATTAGCAGTGTGGCCTTTGATCAGGTGAGGCGCCGTGAACTTGTAGCCAAAGCTGCTTGTGGTGGAAGAGTTTTCACTGGTTGCTTAATCTACGTGTTAATGAGGAACCTTCAGATAACCTTTGATGCCCTCCAAGGTTCTGTCATCCTATATAACTGTTGCCCGTTAACGACCTCCTCTCACTCACATTCATCATTAACCAAATCTTATCCTTCGTGACCCAAATCTTCCCTCCTCTATCACGCCAACATTTGTCTGCTTCCTTTCAGTCACTCACCATTCACTAAACACTCACTTCGACATCATTTTGACTCAGGACTCCATCAACAGACTCACCTCGTCCTGCAAAACAAAGACCAGCTTCTTACCTCTTTAAGTACTTGGCTGTCAACTCAATCTTAATCAGAATACACACATTAAGGTTTCTTTGGGCCTCTCACTGGGGATCTCACCCCTCACACAAACATCACCCTGACTACCATCAGGAGGTTAGTCTCTCTCTCTCTCTCTCTCTCTCTCTCTCTCTCTCTCTCTCTCTCTCTCTCTCTCTCTCTCTCTCTCTCATAACTGCTGGGTGGAGAAGGTGGAGCCAGTAACGAGGCGAGTCCCGTATCCACTAGACCACTGTTCCTCCGGCGATAACACTCGTTAATTAATAAGACCCAGGTATCGAATAGGAGTTAATTACACAAATGGTTAATGCCTTTAGTCCTCATTATGAAGGTAATACGACCCCAAGGTGTACCGAGTGCTTTGTTATGATTGAGATGATAATGATGAGTAGGATGATGAGGAGGATGAGATGGATGATTTAGGAAGGTGAGAATGATGAATTAGGATGATGATAGGGATTCCTTGCTTCCTTCCTTCCTTCCTTCTTTCCTTTGTGGTGGTCAACGTCATACACTATCCTCTGCCAGCTCCACAATCCCTTCACCTTCACTATTCTTCACTATTCTTCACTATCCTCCACCACTGTTTCTATCCCCATTGTTTTTCGTCTATCTCTCTCTCCTTCCTCTTCTTCTCCCCCCTCCCCCCCCTTTGTCTTCCACTTTTCTTCGGTCCTCCTCCTTCTCTTCCATCTTCGAATCATCTTCTCCTTCCCTCCTCCTCCCTCTTCCAATCCTCCCGCTCTCTTCTCCCGTCTACCACTCTTCCTCTTCCATCCACCTCCATCTTCCTCTCCCTACTAACCTTCCACCATCTTTCTTTCGTCTAATAATTACATCTTCATCTTTATTTCCTCTCTCTCATCTCCGTCGACATATTTTCTTGTCTTTTCTCTTTATTCTTTTTCGGTCTTATTTCTTCCTTTGGTGTATCTCTGTGTGTCTCTCCGTGTGTCTGTCTCTCCTTATCTCTCTCTGTCTTTGTCTCTCTCATCATCTCAAACCTTCTCCCCTCTCCTCCTCCTCCTCCTGCCATTTATCACTGTCTTTCACGCCCCATTACTTATCCCCCGTACGGCTGACCAATCATATCAAAGAATCAATAACACTCCTCCTCCTCCTCGAGACCAGCCTCCTCCACTTATAATATTTCTTTTATGGGTAATTTCAGAGCGGCAACCAATTGGAATCATTCACGTGACAGTTTTCGATTATTTGGGGGAATTAAGAGAGAGAGAGAGAGAGAGAGAGAGAGAGATATTTATTCAACCTGCTTACTTATACTCTTGTTTTTACTAGTTTATGTTTACTTATTCATCTGTTTACCGATACATCTTGTTTACTTGCTTATCTGTTTACTTATTCTACTGTTTTATTATCCGTATGTAGTGAAAAGACTTCCGCATAGACTGTGAATATATCTCGACCTGTGGGTGTGTGTGTGTGTGTGTGTACGTGTGTGTGTGGGTGTGTGTGGGTGGGTGTGTACGTGTGTGTGTGTGTGGGTGTGTGTACGTGTGTGTGTGTGTACGTGTGTGTGTGTGTACGTGTGTGTGTGTGTGTGTATCTTAATATTTGAACTAATTTCAATGTTTTTTCCCAGGTCGGGTCACAACACCTCTCATACCACCGAAGCAGTGACGTCAAATCGTGGATCAGTGACGTCATCAGGAGGTCCAGTGACGTCAGGAACAGCCGGTTATAACGTTAAAAATAGCTAGAAAAGGATGACAGAACAGTTACTCCTTGAGCACCTGGAGCACTGACGTCATCAACTGTTGGACTAACGATGTCATCAAATGTTATACAGTGATGTCAGTAACAAGTGACAGTGACGTTAACTGGTATTAGGATCAGTTGAACGACGACGTAATCAATAGGTGGACAGATGACGTCATCAAAACTGAGCCAACGTTATTAATAACCTGTGACGTCATCGATAACTGGACCATTTACGTTATCAACAGCTGCACCCATGAGGTCAGCACCACCCCTATATTGAGGACGTCAGCTCACAACCAAACCCTCATCAACCACAATAAGCCAGTGAAATAAGAAGCAGCAGCTGAGCCAATCACGTCTTCAGCAAGTAAATCCGTGACGTCATCGGCAACTGAATCCATGACGTCATCAGCAACGTAGCCAATGACACCAAGAGGAAGTAATTCAATGACGTCATCAACCAGGTGATTTTATTCCCGTATCATAAAAAGTCAATTTCAGGCAGTAGACGAGCGAACGTTCGTCTGGCGTACTTCATGTATGCCACAAAGGAGTGAAGAAGAACGACAGACGATGTTGACTGCCCGGACTGGCTTTAGGTCGCTTACTTTAAATAATTATGTTAAAAATTGATTGGCAGGTTGACGTGAGGCAGGCGGCAGGTAAGAGCTATATTAACACACTAATGCAGGGTAAATTATTTTAGGCCTAGCATCTAATAATACTTGCGTGTGCCTAGGAGACAGACAGACAGGTGGACAGACAGACAGGCAGACAGACAGGCATGCAGACAGACAGACAGACAGACAGACAGACAGACAGGTGGACAAACAGACAGACAGACAGACAGACAGACAGACAGACAGAGACAGAAAGACAGACAGACATACTGCACAGATAGACAAGCAGACAGACAGACAGACAGACAGACAGACACGTGGACAAAAGACAGGTGGACAGACAGACAGACAGAAGACAGACTGACAGACAGGTGTGGACAAACAGACAGACAGGTGGGCGAACAGACAGACAGACAGACAGACAGACAGACAGACAGACACGTGGACAGACAGGTGGACAGACAGACAGACAGACAGACCGACAGACAGGTGGACAAACAGACAGACAGGTGGGCGAACAGACAGAAAGTCAGGCAAACGTACAAAAAGCCAAAAGAGAGAGAGAGAGAGAGAGAGAGAGAGAGATACTACTGGCTCTCTCTCTCTCTCTCTCTCTCTCTCTCTCTCTCTCCCCATCAAAATCCTTAACTCATTAATATAACATGACAAGAATAATTACATTTTAATCTTAGGCGAAAATTTTCCCTTTTCATTTTTTGGTGAAGAGGAAATTGTCGTAATTACCTACCTGTCTCAGCCTAATTAACAGACTTCATTGTCATTTGCCATTTTTTTAATAAGTTCATTATATAATATTTTACGTTATAAAGATTCGTTATGAGTTATAGTGAAGGAATTCGTGTTTGATTCACTATGTATACTCGACCTTAACTAATTCACTATGTATATTTGACCTCATTAATGTATTATATATCCTTGACTCTAATTAATTCACTATGTATACTTGACCTCACTAATGTATTATATATTCTTAACCTTAACTAATTCACTATGTATACTTGACCTCACTAATGTATTATATATTCTTAACCTTAACTAATTCACTAAGTATACTTGACCTCACTAATGTATTATATATTCTTAACCTTAACTAATTCACTATGTATACTTGACCTCACTAATGTATTATATATTCTTAACCTTAACTAATTCACTAAGTATACTTGACCTCACTAATGTATTATCTTAACCTAAACTAATTCACTATGTATACTTGACCTCACTAATGTATTATATATTCTTAACCTTAACTAATTCACTATGTATACTTGACCTCACTAATGTATTATCTTAACCTTAACTAATTCACTATGTATACTTGACCTCACTAATGTATTATATATTCTTAACCTTAACTAATTCACTATGTATACTTGACCTCACTAATGTATTATCTTAACCTTAACTAATTCACTATGTATACTTGACCTCGTTCATCCATTTGGCTTTCTAAGGAATTTCGACCTACTGTGTTCATATACCTACCATGTCAAGCCTCCAAACACTGGAAAAATAATCCCAGATTTTTCCCATTTCATTTTCAACATTCATACGTAAACATTGGGTCATATCTCCCTCACATAGCCTCTCCTCTCCTTCGTCACTTAACCTTCATCAGATGTTTCTTATTCCATTATCATCTCTACTATTTATATTTTAATCTTTGTCAGTGTTTTCAAAGACATTATATTTTCCTCTGTAATTCCTATACTCGTTCTCGCTGTCTCTTGTGTATATACGAGAGACGACAACAGCTTCTCTGGGATCGTCTGACACCTGGCCGCTTCCTCAGGTAAACAAACCCTCTCTCTCACGTTCATTCCAGTTCTCCTTCTTCCAGGTCTTCAGTCACTACACTCCCCATTCCTCTGTATCTCCTTGTTTACCGTTTCTTGTGTGTTTTATTTCCGCTTTTATCAGTTTCATGTGTGTTTTTTTATCGCTTCTACTATACATTTATCGGAAGTTTTGTCAGTTTTTATATCTATTTATGATGTGTTTATTATCGTCTGTTTTTATAATTAACCCCTTTTGTGTAACTTTCTTTCCTTCATTGTACTTAATATTTTTACTCCCCCAGCAGGTGATGTGGAAGAGTGGCTCCCCAGCAGGTGGTGTGGAGGAATGACTCCCCCAGCAGGTGGTGTGGAGGAATGACTTCCCCAGCCGGTGGTGTGGAAGGAATGACTACCCCAGCAGGTGGTGTGGAGGGTGACGCCCCAGCAGGTGGTGTGGAGGAGTGACGCCCCAGCAGGTGGTGTGGAGGAGTGACGCCCCAGCAGGTGGTGTCGAGGAGTGACTCCCAGCAGGTGATGTGGATGAGTGGCTCCCAGCAGGTGGTGTGGAGGAATGACTACCCCAGCAGGTGGTGTGGAGGTGCTCCCCAGCAGGTGGTGTGGAGGAGTGACTCCCCAGCAGGTGGTGTGGATGAGTGACTCCCCAGCAGGTGATGGATGGTCCCAGCAGGTGGTGTGGAGGGCTCCCCAGCAGGTGGTGAGGAGTGACGCCCCCAGCAGGTGGTGTGGAGGTGACGCCCCAGCAGGTGGTGTGGAGGAGTGACTCCCCAGCAGGTGATATGGATGAGTGGCTCCCCAGCAGGTGGTGTGGATGAATGGCTCCCCAGCAGGTAGTGTGGAGGAGTGACTCCCAGCAGGTGGTGTGGAGGAGGCTCCCCAGCAGGTGGTGTGGGTGAGTGACTCCCCAGCAGGTGATGTGGATGAGTGGCTCCCCAGCAGGTGGTGTGGAGGGTGACGCCCCCAGCAGGTGGTGTGTGGAGGTGACTCCCAGCAGGTGATGTGGATGAGTGGCCCCAGCAGGTGGTGTGGGGGTGACCTCAGCAGGTGGTGTGAAGGAGTGACTCCCAGCAGGTGGCGTGGAGGAGTGACTCCCCAGCAGGTGGTGTGAAGGAATGACGCCCCCAGCAGGTGGTGTGGAGTGACGCCCCAGCAGGTGGTGTGGAGGACGCCCCAGCAGTTGGTGTGAAGGTGACGCCCCCAGCAGGTGGTGTGGAGGAGTGACGCCCCCATCAGATTGTGTGGAGGAGTGACGCCCCAGCAGGTGGTGTGGAGGTGTGACGCCCCCCCAGCAGGTGGTGTGGAGGGAAGCTCCCCAGCAGGTGGTGTGACTGAGTGACGCCCCTAGCAGGTGGTGTGAAGGAGTGACTCCCAGCAGGTGGTGTGGAGGAGTGACGCCCCCAGCAGATGGTGTGGAGGGTGACGCCCCAGCAGGTGTGGAGGAGTAGCCCCAGCAGATGGTGTGGAGGAATGACTCCCAGCAAGTGTGTGGAGGAGTGACGCCCCCAGCAGGTGGTGTGAAGAGTGCCCCAGCAGGTGGTGTGGAGGAATGACTCCCAGCAGGTGGTGTGGAGGTGACGCCCCAGCAGATGGTGTGGAGGAGTGATGCCCCAGCAGGTGGTGTGGAGGACTCCCAGTGGTGTGGAGGAGTGACCCCAGCAGATGGTGTAGTTACGCCCCCAGCAGGTGGTGTGGAGGAATGAATCCCCAGCAGGTGGTGTGGAGGTGCCCCCAGCAGATGGTGTGGAGGAGTGATGCCCCAGCAGGTGGTGTGGAGGAGTGACGCCCCAGCAGGTGGTGTGTAGTGACGCCCCCAGCAGGTGGTGTGTAGTGACGCCCCCAGCAGGTGGTGTGTAGTGACGCCCCCAGCAGGTGGTGTGTAGTGACGCCCCCAGCAGGTGGTGTGAAGTGGCGCCCCCAGCAGGTGGCTCCTCATGGTCCCTCAGTCATATGGTTAGTTCTACATATAATTATCTTTATCATAAAAGTCTGTGTTTTTTAATAAAGAAATATATAATTTATAAAAAATAAAAAAAATAAATTAAAAACAAACAAAGTAAAATAAATAAATAAAAAGTGAAATATAAATGGAAATAAACAGTTTATATACTGAGAGTACAGGTCATCAAGGGTGATTTAATACTCGGTCATAAATAACGGTGATTTACAGTTCACACCTCCTCGTTTATTAACACGGAGCTCAAGTTTTTCAATAACACACACACACACACACACACACACACACACACACACACACACACACACACACACATTTCACAAGAATCTCATTTCACACTACGGACTTTTTACCTATTGTCTGGGGTGTGTTTGAAACAGTGAGTCGGTGTTGGATATTCACGTGCACCTGTTGTATCTCACCTGATCAACTTATTATTGTGTATTTCTACCAATATAATCTATCCTTGTGTTGTACGTACGGCTTAAAGTGTGAGAGGTACTCGACAAGGACTTAGAATATGTCCCTAAGTCCTATTCCCCCCAAGGTGAACATGATAGAGGTCAGGTGAACATGATAGATGTCAGGTGAACATGATAGAGGTCAAGTGAACATGATAGAGGTTAAGTTATGATAGAGGCCTGGTCACCATGATAGAGGTCAGATGAACATGATAGAGGCCATGTGAACATGATAGAGGCCAGGTGAACATGATAGAGGCCAGGTGAACATGATAGAGGCCAAGTGGTACTAAAAATCCCCAGAACACTGATTTAAGCTTTTTATAAACTTTCACTTTAACAACTTCTAACAATAGAACTTTGAAAACCTATGATAAAAATCTTGGTAAGGTGAAGAAGGTGGTTGTGGTTTTGAGTGAGGGGACGAAATGGTGAGAAGTAAACCCAAGTAATGAGAGAGAGATGTTTGTATTTAATAGTGTAACAAATATTTCTGTCAGGGAGTGAATCCGTTTATCCGCAACGAGGCTAAGCATTATTATACAGGATACAGGTAGTGTGGGGCTTTGTCTATGAGAGAATTCAGGACACCTTTTGGTTGAGATGACGAGGCTGGTGCTGACTGTACTATAATACCCAACAGGCGGTTTGACCCTTAAATTAGTCAAGTAAAATTTAATAAACTTTCACCTCCAAAAAAGTAAAAAAAAATATTATTCAAGACTATTAGGGGTGAACTACAGTACACTGACCTGCGCCAAAATTAGAAGACATGATTTTGACCACATGTCTTTAGTGGAAAATTTAACGTTGATCATAATGCAATCCAGGTGGTGACTTTATTGTACCTGATGAATATAAGGTTTATTCACCATGTGTTCACTCGTTAAGGTGAACAAATTAGTTAGAAATAAACCTCAGTAAGCAGCGAAGTAATGAAGATTAAGTATTTATTACAATATTAAGTGGAAAACACATATTTCCTTTATCAGCGTCAATCATTTCATCAGTGACCATAATAAACTGGTGATAAATGATGTAAACAATACATAACCATCAAGAGACTAAATATACTACTCGTATAAGAGGCAGAACTATCAATTACTTAAGTATTCCTGTGAACTATTTCATTTTAAACCCGAGTTGATGATTAAATTGAGTGAGTTTAGTGACGCGATTGACAATTCTGAGTAAACGAATTTGAATTTAACTTAAAGAATTTAATTCAGTTGCAACAAAGTTTTTCCAAGAAACTATTCTTACAGCCTCTGGGAAGTGAACTGTGAGGAGAGGTTATTAAATATCTGACTCACCAGAGAATTTAATTAACAAAAAGATAGAAACTATACATGAAACTATGCCAATGAAAGAGACTGTATCAGACAGTCAGAAAACCGATCAGATATTTATGACAGGAGGAAACCACACCATTCTTGTCAGATAAGTTGAGAACAAATTATTTCAAGTGTGCTTTAAATACCTTTCTACGCAAATTTCACGCCTGTTTATCCTCATAACCTTCTCGTACACGTGTGACTGTCGGTCCTGGAATGTGTTTAACCCCGTGTTTCAGGCTGAGTCCTCCATCAAAGGTGTGTGCGTGTGTGAGAGAGATCCCCACAATAATACCATGAATAAACTAAACCAGGAGTGGATATCATGCCTGTGGTTTAATCATGATAATCTTCCTCAGAACAGAATTTTTGGTCAACACCATACTTAAAAGAGACAACACCAGCGCCTCAGTTTAACCAAGGGAACAAAAATGTTTAGTCACCCAGTTCAAAACATCACAAAACACTAACAACATCCGCTAGCTAAATGATGAAATGTAATTAGCACGGAGAGGGTAATTCGAGTCTGATTAGCATATTTGATCTTATTGAGGGAAATTACTATCACGATGAGTTAGGTTTTGGTGGTGACTGATATTGCTCTTGGGGTTAATGTTTGGATACCCTGGGTGTGTGTGGTATAATGCTTAAGAAGAAAGAAAGAAAGAAAGAAAGAAAGAAAGAAAGAAAGAAAGAAAGAAAGAAAAAGATAAGGGGAGGGAAATAGAAGAAATAAACAAGGACAGAGAAAATATAAATAAATAAATCGATAAAGAGAAAAACAGAAATAAAAAGACAGAATAACAGAGAGAGAATAAGGTTAGATTAGGTTAACATGGTTTAGGTATCCTTCAAGTGGCCAATGTTTTGATGTGGTAGCGTTATCCTCTACCATATAAAGTGGTTAAGATATCATTATCCTCTACCTTAAAACATTATATTGCCGTTTACTTTCCGTAGTTATATTTCCCTTCACAGAAAAACATGAAAATACAGAAAAAAAGTATAAAACTCAGTGCATTTTTTTGTTTTGCATGTTATTGAGCACATTAATGAGTCAATGTAAATGCCAACGCTGTGATAGTGTAAATAACTTTGTAAATACATGAACATAATTATCGTCTTCTGTTGGTTAATATGAATTACTGAGACTTAAGTATATTTCTGAATGATATGAAAAATTAATGAATTTTTTTTTCTTTTCAAGTGGTAATAATTTTTGGTGAAATATTGATTTTTTTCCTTTCTCTATATCGTAATGTCAGCCGTCAATAGCCCGTCAGCCGTCAATAGCCCGTCAGCCGTCAATAGCCCATCAGCCGTCAATAGCCCGTCAGCCGTCAATAGCCCGTCAGCCGTCAGCAGCATATCAGCAGCCAATGTTCTCAAGATCAATAAACGACCAAGCCAATTAATGGAATGAATGAACAGTGTACAGTAGGGACTTGCTATCTACCCTGTGTGTGTGTGTGTGTGTGTGTGTGTGTGTGTGTGTGTGTGTGTGTGTGTGTGAATCTTTGAGTGTTTTTGTGTGCGTGCATATTTGTATAGGTCCTAAGTGTGTTTGTGTGAGCGCTTTTGTGTAAAATATTCTAGTCCCTATTTTCTCTTTAATTCCTGTCGACGTTTTCTTTCATCTCTTCTCTTCCCTCCTCTCATTTAAGCTTCTCTTTTATCCACCTCAACACAGGCATGAGAGAGAGAGAGACAGGGGGGAGATAATGGACACATAATTAGATTTCCAGCTTGACATTGATCTTCGTTTGAACTATTAACCATAGCAATTATCTCCTTCAAACTACATAAAAAATATTAACTATCTGTAATGACCTGTTTGACATTTCAGTTTGTTGAGGATTATTTGACCTCTGAGGGGACGAGCCCGGCATATGTCTTCAGCGAGAGTCACCCAACAAAACTGTGACAGGAATAACACACACACACACACACACACACACACACACACACACACACACACAATTACCAATAAAGTTATATTTTTAATCATTTATTTTCTTATCCTTGAAAAATCATATATATTTAGGATGATTTTATGGATAGAAATTGTGACACTGAAGTATTATATAAATTATGAAATTCTAAACTAAATATTACATTCAAATATAGAATTTTAGTTAGCATATTACACAAAAACGATAATAAAGCAAAGATGTTACACAAATTGTGAAACTTTAGTTAAAATATTACAGAAATTTTGAAACTTAGCTGAAATATTACTGAAATTTTGAAACTTTAGCAGAAATATTAAACAAATTATAAGACCTTAGCTGAAATATTACACAAATTATGAAACTTTAGCTGAAATATTACTGAAATTTTGAAACTTTGGCTGAAATATTACACAAATTACGAAACTATATTATGACGAAAATAACGAACCTATAATATCCTTTTCAGCCGGTATGTTCAAAATGGCGCTTTCTGATTAGCTAATATACCTCCCTGCTGGACACCGGAAGCTCATTAATTACCTTTGATTATCACATTATGAGTTGCTGAAATTCCTTTGCCGCGACTACCTCTATCAGAGTCGGTGCCTGTCAGTCACAGCCAATCACCGTCAATTTTCCTTGATTACCGCAACATTATTAGCGACAAGACCTCCTTCCAACAAGCCCCTCTTACCCTGATAGTACGCGAGCCACGGCCAATCAACAGCCAGCCTATTATCTGCATTGTGGTTGGTTGGAAATACGTCTGATGTAAGCTGTCAGCGGGATGTCAGACAGCAACGTTACGGAATCAATAGATGTCCAACTCAATTTAGGGAGTCGTCCATCACCCCACCTGCAACATTATAACATTTTGCTCAATATTCAAAAGTTATCCCTTGATGAATGACTCGTTTTTTTTTAATGCCTCTCCTCCCTAATGTGTCTGTGTTGATTTACGACTGTCTGTTTGGCAATTTCTGCCGTCATATGAGATTAGATTATTATCACTTTTATAATTTTTGTTCTTTTGTATTATATTCTCGACTTAATTTCTATAATCTATTTTCTATGTAAAAAACCTATGTAAAAATATAGATGTAGATTGTAAAAGAAAACGATGTAAAATGAATGAAGCGATTTGTCTTACGCAGTTCTTTTTTATATTTCGTTCGTCCCGTCTTATATATTTGTTTATAATTTTACTGAAAAAGTATTGAGGTGTGTGTGTGTGTGTGTGTGTGTGTGTGTGTGTGTGTGTGTGTGTGTGTGTGCGTGTGTGTAGTAGCTCTCTCTCTCTCTCTCTCTCTCTCTCTCTCTCTCTCTCTCTCTCTCTCTCTCTCTCTCTCTCTCCTTCACTCCAATATATCTTTGTTTCACTTTCCCTCTCCTCCTTCCCCACCTCTCCCTCCTTCCACTCTCCCTCCCTCCTTCCCCTCCCACTGTCCTTTTCATCTACCCTCACACTCTCTACCTTTCTCCTCACACTCTCTACCTCACACTCTCTACATTTCTCCCCTCACACTCTCTATGTTCTCCCTCACACCTCCCCCCTCCCACACTCTCTGCCCTTCTCCCTCACACCACTCTCTACCTCACACTCTCTACATTTCTCCCCCCTCCCTCTCTACCTTGTTCTCCCCTCACACCTCTCCCCTCCCCTCTCTACCTCCCACCTCTCCCACATTTCTCCCCCCTCCACCTCCCTACCATGTTCTCCCTCACTCCTCCCCCCTCACCTCTCTACCTTGTTCTTCCTCCTCTCCCCCCCCTCCCACTCCCCTACCTCCCCTCTCCCTACATTTCTCCCCCCTCCCCTCTCTACATGTTCTCCCCTCCACTCTCTACCTCCCACACTCTCTACATTTCTCCCCCTCCACTCTCTACCTTGTTCTCCCCTCACCCCTCCCCTCCACCTCTCCCATTTCTCCCCTCACTCTCTACCTTGTTCTCCCTCCTCTCCCCTACACTCTTTCTTTCTCCCCCTCCCTCTCCTTGTTCTCCCTCACCTCTCCTTTCCCCACACTCTCACCTTGTCTCTCCCTCACACTCTCTACTCCTCTCTACCTTGTTCTCCCCTCACACTCTCTACCTCCCTCTCTCCTTTCTCCCCTCACACCTCTCTACCTTGTTCTCCCCACACTCTCTACCTCCCTCTCTACCTTTCTCCCCCACACTCTCTAAGTTTCCTCCCCTCTACCTTGTTCTCCTCACTCTCTACCTTTCTCCCCCCTCACCTCTACCTTGTTCTCCCTCACACCCCTCTCCTTTCTCCCCCCTCACCTCTCTACCCCATTTCTCCCTCCACTCTCTACCTTGTTTCCCTCCACTCTCTACCTTGTTCTCCCTCACACTCTCTACCTTTCTCCCCCTCCACCTCTCTACCTTGTTCTCCCTCCACCTCTCTCTTTCTCCCCCACCTCTCTACCATGTTCTCCCTCCCTCTCTACCTTTCTCCCCCTCCCCTCTCTACTTTGTACTCCTTATCCACCTCCCCTCCCTGTCCCCCATGCCTCCCTCTCACCCCACTCCCCTCCCCTCCCACACTCCCTCTCCTCCCACACTTCCCTCTCCTCCCACACTCTCCCTCTCCTCCCCCTTCCCCTCTCCTCCCACTTCCCTCTCTCCCACTACTCTCCTCTCCTCCCCACTTCCCCTCTCCTCCTCTCTCTCCTCCCCTCCCCTCTCCTCCCCACTCTCCCTCTCCTCCCCTCTCCCTCTCCTTCCCCCTCCCCTCTCCTCCCCCTCTCCCTCTCCCCCCCCTCCCCCCTCCCCTCACCCCACCTCCCCTCTCCTCCCCACACTCCCTCTCCTCCCACTCTCTCTCTCCCCACTTCCCCTCTCCTCCCCTCTCCCTCTCCTCCCCCTCTCCCCTCTCCTCCCCACTTCCCTCTCCTCCCCAATCTCCCTCTCCTCCCACACTCTCCCTCTCCTCCCTCCTCCCCTCTCCTCCCCACCCCTCTCCTCCCCTCCCCCTCTCCTCCCACACCTCCCTCTCCTCCCACCTCCCCTCTCCTCCCCACACTTCCCTCTCCTCCCCCACTTCCCTCTCCTCCCCCTCTCCCTCTCCTCCCCACCTCTCCCCTCTCCTTCCTCCCCCCTCTCCCTCACCCCTCTCCCTCTCCTTCCACACTCTCCCTCTCCTCCCACTCTCCCCTCTCCTTCCACCTCCCCTCTCCCTCACCCACACTCTCCCTCTCCTTCCCCACTCTCCCTCTCCTCCCCACACTCTCCCTCTCCTTCCCTCTCCCCTCTCCTCCCCTCTCCCTCTCCTCCCACACTCTCCCTCTCCTCCCACACTCTCCCTCTCCTTCCACACTCCCTCTCTCCTCGCACACTCTCCCTCTCCTTCCACACTCCCCCTCTCCTCGCACACTCTCCCTCTCCTTTCACACTCTCCCTCTCTTCACCCGGTATCTGTTTTCTCTGTTTACATCTCCTAAACTAAGTACTTTACATTTGTCCACATTTAATTTCATTTGCCATTCTTCAGACCATTCGAATTTTTTTTTTAGATCTTCCTGTAGTTTTGCGGAGTCCTCGTCAGATTTAATTACACGTCCTATTTTAGTGTCATCAACAAATTTACTTATGTTGCTGTCTACGCCTATATCTATGTCGTTTATGTATATAATAAATAATAATGGTCCAAGTACGGAGCCTTGGGGTACTCCACCAGTGGAATAACGTCACAAGTGGAGTACCCCAAGGCTCAGTACTTGGACCATTATTATTTATTATATACACAAACGACGTCGATGTTATAGAGAAATCCGACTGTGAGAAAGATTTAGGAGGAATGATAAGTAGAGATCTTAAACCAAGTAAACAATGTGATTTGCTCGAAACAAAGCTAACAAAGTACTTGGGTTCATGCAAAGGAGTGTTAGTTACAAAACTAGCGAGATCATCCTAAAACTATACCATGCACTTGTGAGACCTCACTTGGATTATGCAGTCCAGTTGTGGTCACCGTACTACAGAATGGATATAGAATCCCTGGAAAGAATTCAGGGGAGAATGACAAGGCTAATCCCGGGCATTAGGAACCTTGAGTACAGAGACAGGTTAAAGCATCTTAATCTGCACTCTCTCGGGAGACGTAGGGTGAGGGGCGATATGATCGAGGTGTGTAAATGGAGTCAGGGCTAAACAAAGGTGATATAACAAAGGTACTCAAACTATCCAACCAGGAGCGAACTCGTAACAATAGTTTTGAATTAGACAAATTCAGATTTAGGCGCGGGATAGGTGAACATTGGTGTGGAAATAGAGTAGTGGACGAGTGGAACAAGTTACCAAACATCATCATTAACTTGAATACACTGGATACCTTCAAACATAGGTTGGATGGATATATGAGCGATTGGGGTTGGGTGTAAACGGGACTGCCCAGTATAGGCCAATAAGCCCGCTGCAGTTTCCTCCATTCTCATGCTCTTATGTTCTTTCCTCCCACACTCTCCCTCTCATCTCCTCTCCTCCCACACTCTCCCCTCTCCTCCTCTCTCCTCCCACACTCTCCCTCTCATCTCCTCTCCTCCCACACTCTTCCTCTCATCTCCTCTCCTCCCACACTCTTCCTCTCACCTCCTCTCCTCCCACACTCTTCCTCTCATCTCCTCTCCTCCCACACTCTTCCTCTCATCTCCTCTCCTCCCACACTCTCCCTCTCATCTCCTCTCCTCCCACACTCTCCCTCTCATCTCCTCTCCTCCCACACTCTCTAACTTCCTTATTCATTTTGCACGGGACAGGTTCGGCCGCTTGTCAATACCAGACTTGGGATAATTTCGCTCGTAATATACACTTGACTGGCGCCTCTACCTGCAGTATACCTGTGTTTGTCTGTATACATGAATATGCATCATCATACATGGACCAACTCTATGAATACTAATACTGTTTATAAAGAGGTAATTAGGTCCGGATAGTTTGTTTTTGTTATCAGTTTAAGTAAAATGTGATAATTATATAAAGCTTATGATCACTGAAGTTTATTTCGTCTGAATATTAACTACCTTAACG